GGCCAAGGTCATTTTGGAGTGGCCACGTACATTTAGAGTGGTTTTGGACAAAACGGGAATTTCGGCAAAATTGGAAAAATAATATTATTTTATTCCCGGACTTCGCAGCGATTTTCGAAGGCGTAGAAAGTGAATTTCGCGAATCCGACACCGTATTATGTCTCCCATGAACATATAGGACCGGTATGGACAAAAATTGAAATTTCGGTCCGGGATCGGAAAATTACGAAAATGCCCCTAGGCCATTTTAATTTATTCCGAAATTTGGATAAAATTTGAGGACTAACTAAGGTTAAGTAGACCAAACCAGACCTGGTCAGCCTTGGTTAGGGGCATTTGTCCATTATACCCTTGAATTATTGGAGAGGAGTGAACCTAAGCCGTTGGATTCAAGGGCAAATTGTCCAAACCCTTGGATTGTTGACACTTGGACTCCACTCACCCAAGTTTGACCACTTTTGACCTGCTTCTTCTCTCTCCTCAGTCCCTCTCAGCTCAGGTTCTCTCTCTCTCCCGAGCAGCCTCACGATCGTCCTCTTCACGCCGCTCCTCGGTCATTCGCTCCGCCCACCCATTGTTCACGCCGTAAGCCAGCGCCGGGCCGGAGCTCGCGACCTCCGGCCGCCGCACAGCACCCCCTGGCACCGCCCCAGCCTCCGTCGACCAGCCCCACCCTCTGCATTGTCCGCCCCACAGCAGCTGTTCCAGGCGAGAGAGAGAGAGAAACACCGCCGGTCTTCACCTCGCCGGCACCGCGCCGCCGTCCACCGTCGTGCGCCGCCCTCGTCGACCACCTCACCCTCACCGTCTCTCTCCACCATCCTCGCCCGTACGCCCAAAGCAGCCCCTGTCTCGGTTGGGTGTGTGGCCGTGAATCACACCGGGCGCCGCCGTGACCGCCCGGCTTGCCCCGGAGCTCCGCCTCTACGCCGATCCTCACCGCGTGTCGGTAATCGACCGCCCGCTCCCGTCGCCTCGAGTCGATTTTAGGCGAGTATAAACCCCTAAACCCCTAATTAGTTTAATTGTGCATTTTTAGGGGTTAATTAGGCCTAATTAAGGTGTTAATTAGGCTCATTTGAGGCTTAATTAGGTGTATTTGGTGGCTGGATGTTTAGGGTAAGTGATTAGGCCCTAATGAGATGGTTTAAAGGTGGTTTAGTACCTAAATGTGAATTTTTCCTGGTACTGTTCATGGGGCTCCGAAATTGTGTAAAATTGTCTAAGTGTGGCACTAATTAAGCTCAAGTACTAATGACTTGGAAGTGGACATTTTGGGGATTATTTAGGCTTATTTGAACCTTAATTAAGTGAATTTGGTTGTTGGGTGATTGGGGTTTGAGATTAGAGCCTAATGAGGGTGTTTAATTGTGGTTTAGTGGGCAAAATGTGTCCTCCCCTAGTACTGTTCATTGAGTACCGAATTTGTGCAATTTATCCAGGTTGAATACTTAGTTGAGTCATTGGTTGATGGCAAGGAATTAGGCATTTTTAGAGGTTACTTAGGACTTATATAAATCCTATCTTGTGACCCCGTACCAATGAGAATGAGGACTAAGTTTGATTTACCCAAGGCGGGCCTTAGGTGCATTACATTGAATTGTAATAAAGGTGCGAATCATTGTCGAGTGGATTGGGTGAGAACGGAAGTATATTGATTGTCTTGAGGATGAGTTGAATGCGTCTAAGTCGAGAATGAGTATGCTTGGTATATTAGAGTGGGCGATTAACCTTGAGTGCCTTGGCTTGTATTCATCTCTCGTGACGTTGATTGATCGATATTGGACGCATTGATGTACATGGTTGTAGTGAGTTAAATTGTGGCCTTCGGGTCGGGTCTTCGGGTCGAGTTAAATTGTGGCCTTCGGGTCGGGCCTTCGGGTCGAGTTAAATTGTGGCCTTCGGGTCGAGATAAATTGTGGCCTTCGGGTCGGGCCTTCGGGTCGAGTTAAATTGTGGCCTTCGGGTCGTGGCCTTCGGGTCGATTTAAGTGAATATGTTTTATATTGATATTAAAAGTCTAACCTGCAGGGCAGAGTAGTGAATTGGGCTGTGGGCCCGGGTGAGCTTATATTGATTGTTATACTGGTTTATTTATCTATTTATGTGTTTTATTTACCCTCTGGAGGTGCACATTAGCCTAGTTTAGGATTAGTGGTTTTTACTTGCTGAGTTTTCTCACGGTTGTGGTAAAACCGACTTTTCAGATCTCCCGCCATGAACTTCGACGATGCACCGTTATGCTTTGGGATTCCCCACCATATAGAGCGTACGCTGACCGTGCACCCCGTGGGGAACGGGGAGAAGTACTATAGACACTATGCTTTAGTATGGGTAGACGTAGGCTTAGCTCACTTTGAGACTCACGAGTACCTAGCCTGGTGTTTCCAGGATCGTTTTGGAGTAGAATTCGGTCACATCAGGTCCGCCGACGTCCCGTTTGTGGGAGAGGGTCTGCTAGATATTCAATGTCCAGACGGTGATATAGTAGATGTTGATATGGAGGGCAATCCTGATTCTGAGGTTGAGTACGAGATTGTGGAAGAAGAGGAAGAGCACGAGGAGCTTGGTAGATTAGCTTTCGAGCCGGAGATAGTCGATCCAGCTCCAGAGCAGGTGGACGCAGAAGCCCCTGAGCTTATGGACATAGACGAGTACGAAGAACAAGACCTTGAGCCAGAGATAGAGTTGGAGGCCATGAGTTCTGAGGAGGATCAAGAGCGACTCGAGAGTTCTTCGGAGTCGTCGGGTTCTGATCCTGACTGGGTATCGTAGGTTAGATATCAGCATAGGAGTGAGGGTTGACACTTTTTGACCGTACCCCTCCGGTAGTTAGTTTGACACCCCTAGGTCACCGATCCCTTTTTGTTCGTGACCTTTTGATGTACCTTTTTGTTTATAGATGGATAATGTATATGGGGGTTTAATCAATCGTAATTTGTTTTCTCTTGCCACTCGTGGTTGCTTTTAAATTGTCTGGGTGTATATATATATTTATTATTTATACGTCGTTTCTGCATGTGGCGTGTTTTCTCTGATTTGGGTTTCGGGTCGGTGCCGTAACCTGGGAGCGTCGCGCTACTATTTCGACCTATAAGCGGGATGCTCATGCTTCGTGGGGTACGGGGCGTGACAAAAATACCATTAGAAGGCTTCATCATTGTTATTCTTAAGTAGGAAAAAAGATGAATAATATTACTTTCTAGGCTTCTAGCCACCAAAATGATTCTATTGAAAGTAGTTTCATATTCTAAGACAAAAGGACATGGTACAAAGTTCAAACTCAAATATTATAATTTTAACTAAACTACTTCTAACTAACAAAATGAAAAGCTCTTAACAAATTATAAACACTGTGCTAATAAACAAACTTTGACACTAAACGATGTTTAACTCAAATTAATTTTTTTTAAATAACCTAAGAAATGTCAAACTAAGATTAATATTTGAAATTCAAAGAAGGACCGCATTTAAATTTGAAATTGTAATTGACCAAAATAATCAATACAAAGAAATAAAAAGATTGGCAGTGAAATATGGGATTTTGTCGCAACATATTTAATCTAATGTGGAAGAGTAAGAATTCGGTAAAGAAAGGAATTAATATCTCATTGACATGTTATGGCTAACTAACATTATATATCTCCCTCCGAACAAGGGTCACGAGAGATGACCAAAATGAGCAACAAATTCAAATAAGAGGAAAAATCTGTGGATGGAGTTTTGAAACAAGGGAAGAAATAGATGCAACTTCTTTGACATTAGTTAGGAATAAGTGGTAGGTGAGTTATTTTTCTTTTCAATTGCAAAAATTGAGTGAATGATCAACGCGGAATTAAAATAATACATTCATATAAAAATACATAAGCAAACAGTTATTGGATTCATTATAACAAATAAAGAATTTATATTAATGACTAATATTCTCAAAGCGACCGAACTTACATATTTTACTTATAGCATTGTGTTATCATAGTTATTCGAAGAAAATTTAAAAAGTTTAAGATGATAATCTATGTAAGTTCTGTGTAAGGCATGGTAAATTGTCATATGATTAGTATATTCGTTTATGGTACTACTTTTTTGCAACAACTTAATTTTAACACTTATATTCACTTAGAAGGTCAAATGAAATTCGGTTTTAACTTAGAATGACAAAACCTGATTCCTTTGCCAAGATGTCTATTTCAAACTGGTATGTAGATACAACATTTCATGGGGTTGGGGACTTGGAACGATATTTGGTCATCCTCGTGCAACTTTTTGCTAATCGAGAAATGACTTTAATGGGAATCTTCACGGAAAAGGTCGTAGATATTCAAGGTCAATCCGATTGTAAAAATCTCGACTCCCCTAATTAAAGTATGAAACCACGGCGTAAACATTACGACTTTTAGTTGTTAGCAGAGATCTTCGTACTGCTTTGACCCAACTACAAATTAGCTGGATTCTCTGTTTACAAAAGGAACAAAGAGCTTATTTTAGATTATTAAAAGAGGACCAAGACCCTAGCAAACGACTTTGCCCATAGAGTCCGTTGGTAATTAGAATTCTAGTCCGCCTTCTCGGCTAGAATTCTTAGACTTGGTGACCTTTCTACATGACCATGTCTCTCCCCCTCTCTCTCATCGAATGACTTGGTAAAATGTTTAGTCGCAAATAGATTTATAGGAGGAAAAAAAGAAGATAAACAACGAAGTATCTACTTTGATTGACTTGCTCCTAGGATCATGTGTAGACCCTCGATCTACTCGGTGACAAAAACAAAGAATTAGACAAATAGATTCATTAAAAAAAGGACTGCCTATGTAACATCCCACTAAATAAATTAAAATCTTTGATATCGTTATTCATATGGAATCATAATTGTAAAAGGAGCCAAGAAAAGTAATACAAAAAAATTTCGACAGCCTCCTAATGGAACTCGACAATCTCTCTTTCTCTCTCTCTTTCTCTCTCTCTCTCTCTCTCTCTCTCTCTCTGAAAATAGGAAAAGCACAGAAAAGAAAAATCTGAGTCATGTCAGTTTCTTCATGTGAGTATTTTCTTTACATGGGTGTTACTTCGCTTCTCCGAGGCTAATAACTTCAGTCGGACCGACCTTCTTTCTTAAACGGTTGACCAGAGGCACTGCGTCAACTCCTTCCCCAACCACGACCACCTTGTCTTCTCCTTCAAAGGCCACTGAGTTTACACCTGCAAATGTCGACAACATGGCTTGTCATGGGCGTTCGTTGTGTAAGGGACACGCTAAATCTAAGCAGAAAGTGATTATTTATTTGTTTTGGAGGAACCGAGGTTGAGCAGAAGTGATTATTGAACATCAGGCACGATGAAAACGACGGCGAACGAGGCCGATCGACCTAAGTATAAACCTAGTCCATTCGAGGTAGAGGGTCATTACCGTCTGATCCGGAGATGATCTGAAGTGCCTTGGTTCTGCATTTCTGGCAGCTCATCTGAACCTTCAATACGATTTTCTTCTGCGGATCAACGCACAGACACAGTCAACACGCCAAACCAGATAACTCAAAGATATAAAAAGAGAAGAGAAACAAGAGATCTGGACACCCAAAACATAAGCGCACAAGCAGAGCACACAAACCTTCATGTTTTCTCAGATATGCTCTGATCAAATCAATGGAAGCAGAAAGTTATACAGGAGCCCGCGCACGTAAGCCCTAGAGAAATGAGTGAATACTGGTCTGGAGCGTTGAGAAGACGTGGGTGGTGTTGAACGGCTTTATAAACACTTGTGAATGGCTTATACAGACACACGCGTTGATGGCGCGTCTTTGAAGCCTTCTCGTGCAAGGCAACATTGACGCAGGAGGAGGACCCAAATAAAATAAAGAACGAAGAAAATCGTTTCATTTCAAGAGAAGCTTCTATCGATGTGACGTCATAATTCGACCGCCTACTTAGGTCATAGGTGCATCTCCGGGTGAAAATTTGGAGTCCAACCAAACTAATTATATCATAAAATACACGACATGTGACCACTGATTGGATATACTATGAGGAAGCCAAACTGCTTTTGAATTGTACTCCGATACCATATAGGAAAAAGATTGCTTAAGGATTAAGATGACGAGTGCCTAGTAATTGTCCTTTGTGTCGCTTACGTTGAAGAGTATTGAGATATGTAAGTTCATTTTTAATATATTTTCAATTTTTTGCGGGACAAATTGAACATTCGAGAAGAATGTAGAACATTTTAGTAGATATGCGTATTGTGCACGCCGGTTAATCAAGCCATTGCTGTATAAGAAAAGGTCAACAAAAGTAGTGAGGAATGGAAGCATTGGCTTTCATCTGAAATTTTTGCATTGACTCAACTCGCGCCTTTGGTAACATTGTTATCATGAAATTAATATTAAATTAAGGGATATATTTACTAGAAGTCTTATAACTTGTCACCAAAGTACAATTGAGTCTTAAAACTTGCAAAAAGTGCAATCAAGTCCTTAAACTTGTCAAGTTGGTTCAATCGAGTCATAAAGTTAACACCGTCAATTTATGTGACGGAAAATGCTGACATGGCATATTTAAATCATTTTCTCTCTCCTACGTGACATTTATTATTGTTATTATTTTAAATATTATTTAAATTAGATTAAAAAAGTAAAGAAAGCTAAAATTTTATTTGGGTGAGCCTCGCAAGCCCTTTAGGCACTGCCCGAGCCGTCCGCCCTTGCCAGGGCTTGGTGAGCCTCCCCAACCCCGGGTGAGGCCTTGTCAGCCCCAGGCGAGGGCTGGTGACGCTCACTAGGCCTAAGCGACGGCCGGATTCACCCAGATCTGGGCAAGCCTCACTAGGGCTTGGCGAGGGTCGCTGGCCCTTGCCTGGGGCCGGCGAAGGTCGTGGGCCACTCCGGCGATGGGCCGCAATGATAGTGTCCAACAGGGAGGACTCGCCTTTCTTTTTCTTTTTTTTTCATTGTTATTTTTTTAAAAAAAATTAGCTTTTTAAATTTTTTTATTTAATTTAAATAAGATTTGAATGAGAAAATAATAATAAATACCACGTAGGAGACAACTTTAATTAGTTTTACTATTTAAATTTGGATCTTGTTCACAGGTGTCCTGGAATAATCGTTAAACATGCTTTAATGAATAAAGTTCTTATTTCCTCAGGTAGATTGCACATAACACTAGAAAAACAGTACATGGGAAACTATTAACGAATCTTGTTCACCGGTGCCTTTAATCACAATTGTTAACAAATGCTCTTGGAGCACTTTTTAGCAAAATCCTTAACATAAATTACCAAATGATAAGAACGTGGGCGTTTTCTTTAAAGCACAATATGTACGAAAAATTTATTGACTTCAATGAACTTTCGTCAAGAATAATATTAGGTACACTAAAAAATTTACAATTTTTTTTTAAATGATGAGATGTAATTAGGTATTACATATGTCTACTTGCCCAATGCCTGGTGTACTAGTTTATAAATTATTTTTTATATCACTAGCATTACTATTTTTGCGGGAAAAAAGGCCACTAAAGTCAGGCGTTCATGTTGAACATGTTAGATATACGTATTGTGCACGACGGTTGATCAAGCCATTATTGCTTTATTAGAAAAAGTCAAAAAGCAGTGAGAAAAGGAAGCATGGGCTTTCATCTGAACTTTCTGCGTTGAGTCAAGTCGTGCCTTTGGTAACATAGTTATCATGGAATTAATATTAAATTATTTCTCCAGTTTGAACTCACATATAGCACACACTCCGAGTTTGAGAATTGTAGTGTGCGAGTAATTTCGGATGTGGCGTTTACCACTTTGCTTGGTTATTACACATTAGAGTAATCGAGAGTAGTGCTAGAGTTTTCTATGTACGAGTTTTTAAAGGTAAGTTCTGTATAAAATATTGTGAGATAATACCTTTGGGTTTACTTTGTAATATAAATTTGAGAAATTAATCTCTTGTCGTGAAGTATGTATCAACAATTAGGTTGAACTATGTAAATATCCGGTATCCTTATTGTTTCTTGTTGATTTTTTCAAGTAATTGCTTTCTCCCACATCTTGTGATATTGAATTGCAAATTCTGTTATTTTCCACACATGCCTACAACCATCATATGTTAAAAAAAATCATATGTTAAAAGAAAAAAAGCTATGCTCATGTACTTGTATGTTGGAAACGGATGAAAGAGAAGAGATTATATAGAGGATGGACTCAAGAAACTATTTTATAGATATAAGTGCCATCTAAAATGTGGGTACAAAGAGAAATCCAAGCGACCAAAGAACATCGACTTAGAACTTTTACACACTCACGACTAATAAAATAGTTCACGAAGAACAAAGCAATAAAGTAAATGCACTAGAAAAGTAAGGTTTGAATCTAGGACAATGTCTTCCATGTTGGCTTTTAGCTTTTGGTTTCATTAATCAATCCACAAGATCCTCAACGCTTAATAACTTGGTTGACCTTCCAACTTTCTTCCTTAATTTGCTCACAATCTTCACTGCATCAACTCCTTTCCCTTTCTTGACCAAAAAAAAAAAAAAACGCCTTTCCCTTTCACCACCATCTCGTCTTCACGCTCTTCATCAAAACCCACAAATTCTGCCCCTGCAATGACAATAGAAGCATTGTAACTTAGCAGTTTTATATCGGATCATTGACGTATGCGCAAAATTAAAAATAGTTACGAAAAAAGCCATCTTTCCGACACCAGTTTGGGTAAAAAGTACTTTTCACTAGATAATGTTAAATATTTTGGTGTGTAATTAGGTATGTTGACCGTATGATATATGATTTCTAGGGTTTGTCACCATCGGCTGTAGCTGCAATCTGACATGCCTTGGTCTTGTTTTTCTGGCCCTTCAAACCAAGCTTAATCACAATCTTCTTCTGCAGAATGATGGAGAAAGCTTAGAATATCGATTAGCAAATAATGAATGTGTACACAAACACAAAATAAATAAACATCAACTATACTAGTAAAATGAGTTAGTGCAAGTACTAACCTTGGTCATGTTGTCTCTGTGATCACTTTCTCTGCGAAAAAGACATCCGCGAGATGCTTATACTCAAGATGAACGAGGAAAAACAAAAGGAAACTCTGCAGTGCTTCTTATATAATATGAACTCGGCCATGCCGCTAAGACTTCGACGCGTTACAGCTATTTAGCTGCTTCCCTAAGGCAAAATTCGTTTGTATGAACGTGCAAAATCTTCAATTTGACGTTCTCTACAGCATGGTCATGTGGCCTTTTGATTTGGTCCGATTGAAAGCGGAACGACTCGATGGACTTCCGTTGGCTAGCTGATCAATTTAAAGTTGACTTAAAAGAAGTCTTCCTTAGTGAGAACTTCACGTGCCCCAGCAAGACGTCCATTGCAAAATATTATTAGCTAGATCATTCCATGGAGATCGGGGCATGGATTTACATCTATAATTCTCTGGACTTATAGTGGATTTATTTGTGGCCGACTCTTCCTATAGAATAAGTACCAATACTCAGACCGAACCAAGTTAACATCTGGTGCCCTTATTGTTCATTGTTATTTTTCTCTAGTAATTTCTCCTCTCGCATATTGAATTACAAAATTCGTTATTCTCCCTGTTATTTCACACCACCCACAACCATTAAACGAAGAAGAAGAAGAAGAAGAAGCAGCAGCAGCAGCCATGCTCGTGCACTTAGTCATTAGGAAGAAGAAGAAGAAGAAGAAACCATGCTCGTGCACTTAATCATTAAAAGCAGATGATAAAGGAGATATTATTAAAGAAGGATAGACTGAAGAAACTAATCCGTAAAAGAAGGGCCACGTAAAACGTGGCTACAAAAAGAAATCCAAGCGACCAAAGAACATCGACTTAGAACTTTTACACACACACGACTAATAAAATAGTTCACGAAGGACAAAGCAATAAAGTAAATTTGCTAAAAAGTAAGGTTTGAATCTAGGACAATGTCTTTAGCTTATGGTTTCGTTAATCAATCGACAAGATCTTTAACGCTTAGTAACTTGGTTGACCTCCCAACTTTCTTTCTTAATTTGCTGACGATCTTTGTTGCATCGACTCCTTTCCCTTTCACCACCATCTCGTCTTCACACTCTTCATCAAAACCCGCATAATCCACCCCTACAAAGACATAGAAGCATTCTAAATTAGCTCGACGCAGATTTATTATTTAAAGATGTGGATTCTTATATACCATTAGAAAAGATCATATGTTCCCTCTAAAAGCAGTTCTATATAGTGTCGAAGACAAAAATTAAAAATTGTTATGACAAAAGCTGTCTTGACTATACCAATTTGTGTAAAGAGTACTTTTTGTGAAGTAATGTTAAGTATTTACGTCACGATAAAAATATTTTTTGGGGTTAAATTGTGTAATGGGCTATTTTGACTTTGATATATAATTTCTAGAGTTTGTCACCATCGGCTGTAGTTGCAATCTCAAGTGCCTTGGTCTTGTATTTCTGGTCCTTCAAAGCAAGCTTAATCACAATCTTCTTCTGCAAAATGATGGAGAAAGCTTAGAATATTGATTAGCAAATAAGGAATGTGAACACAAACACAAAATAAATAAATAAATAAAACATCTACTATACTTAGTAGAATGAGTTAGTGCAAGTACTAACCTTGGTCATGTTGTCTCTGTGATCACTTTCTCTGCCAAAAGGACACATTTGCGAGATGCTAATACTCCAGATGAACAAAGAAAAATAGAATGGAGCTC